TTTAGTTTCTTAAAATTCACACCATAACTGTATAATCACAATTATTTATTAACCAAATAACACATACAATATAAAGTAACCACAAACTGATTGTTCATAATGAATTCCTGTATTTTAGAAAAGCAGTCTTATTCACTGTTCTCTCGTCTGAATGCCTTCTAGGAGCAGGCACACATTAATAGTTTAAATAACTTAAATTCATAGTATAGTTCCTCCTTTCAATCAAAAATGTCTTGGAGCAATTTTGTTTGTAAAAGCAATTTGCTGAGGATGTAGTTTGATTCGTAAACATGCGATACAGGCACAACGGTCATAGCTCACCGTTATGGTTTTGTCAATATTTGCATAAAAAACAGCTCACCTTATGGGCGATGAATTATTTATTTAGACTGAAGATGGGTGTGGCTATAAGGTTGTGTTGCGTTGTGCGAGTGTATGTGTATTGTATATGTGTGATGTGAGGATATTTTATATGTGTGGTGTGTGTGTGTATTGTATATGAGTGGTGTGATGCGGTTGGCTGCACACACAGTCAAAGTCACAGCTTCCTCAAGGACACTGCGGCTCCGGGGCCACCACCACACAAGACACTGGACAGACTATAAGAGAACTGGAGAAAGATGTGAAGGCCAAAACACAGCCGTCCAGATGAATAGAGCTGGAGAAAGAGGTGCACACCGATTAAAAAGAAAGGAACATTAAGTGGACTATAGAGCCTTATCTAGTGGCACCGTTTAAGGTATTTCAGGGATTCGTCACTGAGAGCTATACAGGCAAAAAAGCATGGATAAATGCTAATGTTTTTGTTTAATCTGGACTGTAAGAAATAATACAATACAAGGGATTACAAATGAAAGTTTACAGAGGAGGAATTACACTTCTATGAGGAATTAATTGTTAACACAGAACATCTAGATCACCTGTTATTGTTTTGAAAATGCTGTATTCAGCGTAAACAAAATAACAATAACAAAATTAACATGTTTATTTAGTCTCAGTTTCATTTTTGACACTCCCTCCTCCCCTTGCTTCTCGCATCATTCTCCCTTCAGAGCACCAGCATCCATTCTGCTAATGAAAAAACAACACATGACATCAGGTTTGTGAAGTTGTAGTGTATTGTGTTTATCCTTTTTATGAAATACTGCAGTGTGGGCTCATTAGAGGCCTGAGCTTTGGACAGGGTTATACTGCTATAAAGAGGGATCGAATAGTGGCTGGGAGAGATCGCAAGATTACAAGATCAAACATGCATGGATGACATATAAAACCACTTGAGGAATGTTCTTGATGAGGGAACAACATTATAACATGGTAGAAAGCACCGAAAAGATGATTTTGCATTACAGATCCTCTTCAAAGACAAACAAATCCCATTAAACCAAAAGTAGAAAAAGTAGAAAAAAATCTGCTGCTTCAGTAAGCAGGCAGCAGGCTTGTCAGAAAGTATAAAAATTCTGATACTAATCTATTTTGTAGTCTCATAGAATTGCACTGATATTTTGGATTAGTAGGCGTAATGGCCCCATGCAGTCACAAACACTATTTTACCAACTTCAGCTCTGCAAATATGAACAGCTCAGACCCTTTTTAAAGCCCAGAATCTCCTGAATCCAGTTGCCGAATTCATATGATCTAAATTTAAACACCATGCAAAAGTCCGCTGATCATGCTACTCCAAAGCAGCCATTAAGGACAAAAACACATTTTTGTTAAAGTTATCTAGTCAGCCCTGCCATTCAGATTTCAGTTGTCAAGTGAATTTTAGAATCCATACATTGACGATTGATTCCACTACACTACATACATTTTCATCATTAGCCTTACTATTTCTCATTATCAAGTAGAGTTTGAAATTTGAGTATCGTGATAACACTAGCAGCAGCAACACCCATAAACTTAAATTAGGTGACATACAGTAGACGTAAGAGAAATTTCACACTGTTCTTGAATGCCAACTACTCTGCCAGCCTTAATTTCATACAAACACTTTCCAAACTTCCATAACAAACTGAATGCAGGTGTCACTGACTTCACTTGGTTCATCTGTTCCACCCAGGCGTCACTGTCACTTCTCTTTGTACACACAGAGGCACCTGGGCCTGATACGAATATATTCATGAATTTCCTCATTAAAATTCCCTGTGTCATGCATGAGGATTTGGGGTTATTTTTATTCAGTATACTCTGGTTTTTGGTTCTAAGGGTTGACTTTGGAGGACAGTTAAGCATATGAGCGGACATAGCTTGGTTTCCTGCATGGATTTTAGATTGATTTATGGACCAAATCAATTCATATACATGACTTTATATCCCACACAACAGTATGTAGAGCAAAGAGAAGAGTGTTTTTTTTGTGCTGTTCAGTCTAAACTCTGATGCGCAAACACACTCACACATACATCTACAGCAATCAATTATTTACACATGAGCGTGCACTGGCAGACCCCGCCACTCCCCCGCTGAGATGATACTGGGGAAGGCCACTGGGTGAATTGCATAAAAGCTGCTTTACATACACAAGCAGGCAGTTTAGCGCAACAGTGAGAGACCACAGCAAGCAGGACCAAAACCTTGACCATATGAACTCCAGCGAGACAAGAAACTCAAGAGAACAAATGTTATTCTCTGACAGATTTAGAGCAGTACATAGACAACAAAGGCAAAGAATAAAAAGGAATGGCTAATGGGAGAGAAGAATAAGCAATCAACTTGTAGCAGTAATTGTGTCTGGGTGTCTACGGCCAATCAAATGTGACCTCTCTTTCCAAGGCTTGTTGGTCTGCAGGCTTTCAGCTAAAGTGGCTCATACAGTCATTATAGAGAACACTTGAACTGCAAGTAAAAAAATATATATATATCATCGCTGGATGTCATAATTTAAAATGTACTGAAATACTTTACCTTATTTCAGTGTTTTGAACTTTACCAAATCTCTGAGGCCATGCATAACGATCCATTAAATAAAGATTAAAAAAAAAAAGCTGTTTTCTGATTTATGTTATGTTTCTGCATTAAAAACTCAAAACTCTGTTTTGTTTCATTTAAACATGTTTAACACATGAACACTGCATATTCAGGTGGAGTTCTTTTTTCAAACTGAAAACAATCTCTGTAATGTGGCAAAACTGGAAGTGTTCCTGCCAAATTCCATACACCTTCATTAGAATCATTTAGATGATTTCAGCCCTGGGATTGCCCATCACTAATGATCAAAAAATTATATCGTAGCTGTAAACTTGAAAACTACCACTACATGACATCACAAGGTGGAACAAAGCATTTTGGACTTTGGAAATCTAGACAGACTAATAAAATGATAACTGAAACACATTTGAATGAAACAAAAAACTGCAGTCAATATTGCGTAATATAGGATCTTTAAGGTTAACTTTTACATATGGACAGCATTCACTATAAATAATATGAAAAGTGAAGATTGCATGCTGTATGAGTAACTTTATTTGCAGACACAAATGAAGTTAATCCTCATAAAAACCACCTCTAATTATCCAATAAAGCGACATTACAATGACAGGCCTACCCCTGAGCCGGTTTAAATGTGTCTCTTTTACATAGTGGTGACCTGAGCACCCAGGTGTCCGGGTTAACTACATGGACAGAGTGGGAGCTATTCTGTTAATTAATAAACACAATTCCTCACAGTCACGCCAGCATTTAAGCTAACCCAATCAGTGCACAGGCAGTAACCACCAGCTCAGAGCACCATCGCTGTATGCTTATCCAATTTGAGACTGGATAAATGTGCTAAAGGTTAAAACAGTTTGGGCTTCATGGAGCTATAATGAGGTGCTTCCTTAGAAAATACCACGTTTTGACACACCACAAGTGCTTGGTTATTTTCGAGTCATTTACATGTGATTTCAACAAGGCCAACAGTGTTCCCGGCGGTGTGTAACTACAGCACTGCGCACCGCATTCTGGCACGGCTCTTCCCCTATCGCAGGCATGAGATTCATTACAAATATTTTTAGGGCTGTGTTGAGATGGCTGCCGGATTAGAAAACTAAATATTATTTCTGCTATTTGAGGAGTGTTGGATTACTGTGTTTTTAGATTGACATTCCATAAAAATATAAACATGGGACTATTTTCATCTTAACGCCCAAAAAGCAATATCGGATACCCACCAGTGTAGAAGTCTATGAAGATGCCCCATAAATGCACAGAAATACAAAAAGTTTACAAGAACAAATTCTTGAATCTCTTTAAATTTGCCTAAATACTACAATCTCGTCATTACACAAGATTATGGAAGTCAACACACTTACTAAACAAATTTCTCACACCTCTAAGTAGCAGTTTTTTTTCTGAACAAAAGCAGAAAAAAACACCGATGTGCCACTGAAAATGTGATAATTCCATGTTATGTAAGCCCTATTAGTCTTAAATTCCATTTGGGTGTAGGCCTATCTAGACAATTATAAACCAGGGTGACAACATAATAGAGTAAAAATCAGGCTCACATGACTATTGTTAGAATATGGTAGTCAGTTACTTACATAGGCAACAAGAGCTTTCATGACACATTTTCCTTGCAAAATTCTGAATAACCTCCAGATTTATAAATATCTTAAGAGAATATCACCTGTGTGCACAATAAGGTGCAACATTGACTGAGCGTAGCCAAAAATACGGTTTCTTCTGGTTTATGATTCAATTTAAGCCTGGCCTCACAGTAGCGTCCTGTCTGCTGGTTGGTGAATGCCCTGGCCTGTTCACGCTCTGCTTCTGTTGCTTGTTGTGCAGCAGCGAAATAGGACTCTCAGTCTCTGGCTCAGCGGGGGTGACAGCCCAGCTCCGGGCCACAGGGCTGCTCTTGTGTTCTGGAAGAAGCTGATCGTGCTATTCCCCTCAACCGATCACTCTAGCAGCAGCGCACCTTTTCAGCAACCAGTCCAGACCCGAGCTAAAGATCTGTCCACTGCTGTTGTTGTCCTGCTCACACATAACAATGGATTCTCTTTCCACGCACTCACCTCCTCCTTCTGTCCTTCTGTGGCCTTATCCGTCCTCTCCGAATGTCCGTCAGCTTTTGTGATGTCACCGTGTCACCAGAGGCCAAGTTCAGCACCTGAGAAGAGAAGAGTTTGAGAAGTGAACCACCAGCATCGTGACTGCGTTTAAGGATCATGTTATTGCTGATGTAACGTAGCTGAAACCAAATACGCTTGTTTACATAAAAGCTGGGGGCATTTACCTTACAACAAGATGGATTACAACAGAGAAGCCAACAGGCCAAAAGAAAAGCCAGGAGGTCAAATCTGCATAGTATATCTTTAATGTGCTGTGGGACTGTAATAAAGTGGTGCTGACTCACTTAAGAAGAGCACCACGGACACGGATTCATTTTCTCCTTGCTGCCCACCAACTGCTAGGAAGTATTCTGAGCTGCTGGAGTGGTTGGTAGAAGTTAACTATTTGTAGCGTTGTTTACTAGCTTACAAGGCAGAAACTAAGACCATGCTCTGGCGGGACAGCCCTCTAAATTAGCGTTAGCTACAAATATGCGCTTACTCCAGCAACTTTATTTTCACACCGTCAGGCTGAGAATCACGTCACCATTACCAAAACAAACTGCACAAGAGCTCTGAACTTTTTAACTTGCAAGAATATAATGGATACAATTAAGAGTAAAAGAAGTAAGTGATTGATAGACTGATATGTCAACAAAAATAATATTCCTATTTTGAGATTAATTTGTTTTCTATGTTAAGATAAAATAAACCTTTATTTGTCCCATAATGGAGAATTACAGTGTTGCAATACCAAGTTCAGAAACAGCAGGAGAATAAGAATATGCAATCACAAGATAAATAACTATAAAGACTTTAAATATAACATAACTTAAATTGATTAATCTATATTTGCAACCAGATTAAGAATTTATTACTAATGTATTGTGAAATGCTTCTATATATATTTTTTGAATGGGTAAATTGTTTAATGCTTAATTTCATTACTTATTCTACCCTTTTGATTTATAATATGTGAACCCTTTAGAAACCAAATGTAAAGTAATCCAAATGGGGGCAGATAGTCGCAATTAAAAAAGGGATTGGAGCAGGCAAAATGTACAGTGAGTTGAGACCCTTTTCTGGGTGTCTTTTAAATCAGAACCTGTGGCAAAACACTAAAAATACAGGTCCGAGGTTGTTGGACAGGCACAGTCACAGAACATCTTCAGTCACTGCTAAAGAAAGCCTACGCCCACCTACGAGACCTTGAGGATGCAGCCTCAAGTATACCTCTGCAATTCTTGTTTTAATTGGCAGCATGAATTAATAATAGTCCCTAAAGACACTGCCAGTAAAATGTGCATGCAACTGAGAAGAAAAGGTGTGACAGCAATAATCTAGACAAACCAGATAGGACAAATACAAATGCTGCACCCTCCCACAGACAACACAAGACGCACTCCTAGCGCCAAGAAAATCGGAGCAGAACAAATGCAGTGTTTGCTGTGTGGGATTGGAAGAAGAGGTCACGCCTTAGAATGGACCGGCGAGTTTCTGAAGAGGGAGTTGGTTATAGGTGTAATAGGTGTAATGTCACGGTAGTACCAGATTAACTGGATCTGCTGGTGATAGCGATGCCAACTGAAAAAATGACGCATGGACTATAACGAAACAAAGGTGGTGATTAGTAACTGGAAGGTCAACATAATTTAAGTTACTTGAGGCTAGATGAATCATAAATTGTTACAGTAGTTATAGGTTTAAGCCCTATTCACATGGGATTAGTTTTACTTGGGGACGACTATAAAATTTAAATAACCCCATAACGTCTGAGTTTTTTTTTTGTGTGTACATTCACACAGGACAAGCAATGTCAGTAAACTACGTGCTTTTACAGACTTTCAAATGGTGGACTAATAAACACACCAAAACAAGATGAGAACGTTTTAATGTCACCAATGCTTCTTTTATTTAAAGTTTGTTTTTAGCAGAATGCACCTGCACTGTAGTGTCAAAAACCATGTTTTTTACCATATTGAGGGGATTGGCAATAAGAATGACATTCACGCGATCAGCCATACTCTCTCTCTGTTATTCCGTTCACGCTACACAGCCCCTCCATCCAAACTTTATAAACTTTGCACCAAAAGTCAAGTCTTTACCGCAATCTGTTTTTTTTTTTCTTCTTAATTATAGAAAAAAACAATAACTGGATTAGAGTATAGTCTGTGGTGATTAATAATATTGTTGATTTAATTCACATTTGGACCTAAAATGGCAAATTACCTGAGGAGCTCCGGGGTTTGCAAAAATACAGGAGGTAAAATTCGGGGGAATTTTTACAGACTTTTACACAGACATGGACGATTCACAGGGGACTAGGAACACAGACGACGTTTGTAATTGTTACAGTTTACCAGGGGAGCCCAGGTAAAACTAATCCTATTGTATTATTGTACTGTACTATAAATAGGACTAAAAGCACAGACATTGACTTGACATGACTAGGCCTGTCATGATAACGCATTTTGATAATAATGATGTAATATATGGCTGAAGTAAATATAGACGATTAAACAATAATACTGAAACTACTTTATGGCACTGACACAAAACCCCAAGAGTAGATTAATACCACAAAAAGTATTCTAGATGTACAATATTGTTAAATCAGGAGCTGCAATAAATAAGTAGCAGAATGAAACTACTATTTAGTTCCCATTTGTAATGAGTAATAGTCATTATTACTTCAACAGCTCAAATAAAATGTGACTATAATATAAACAATTTCCCAGTAGTGCAAGGTACACACGAAAATGTATACACAATAAATACTAGTCGAAAAATATTGTTCCATCAGTCATATATAGAAAGATAAGTCCATACTGTAAATATCGTGAGAAGTCTAGATACTATTAATTTAATTTAAATAAAGATTAGGTCAGTGATATGCCTGTTTTTTTGTTTTGTTTTGTTTTGTTTTGTTTTAGTTTAGAGGTCCACAGCCAATCCTTTGTCAGTGAAAGCATGTGGTTTGGCAATAAAAAAAGTCTGTATTGTTTATGTTCAAGAAATTACTATTTAAGAACTTTAATTAAGAACTAAACTTGAAATCAATTTTGTAATCCAGAAAATAAATAGTTTGTCACATTTTAGACCCCATACCAAGAACATCACAATAATACATTAAAAGGAAAAGATAGAATACAATCAGGTCACACATTCAATGGAGTTGCATTATGCGGGCTATTAGCCAGAGGTGGCATATAGATCCGGCATTAATAATTCACCAAGCCTTCAAACTGTCTAATTTTACTGAGGGACCTGTGCATGTCTCGCTTCAGAGTGCGCTCCAGAGGTTAATGGAGACACAGTGACAGATAATGGTCTGAATCACTAGCACATGTTCTCAATGGAAGGGCTCATAGGAGACTAAATAAAGGCCATGCTCTCCTCCAGGTCATTTGCCATCTTTCTTGACATCTCATTTGTAAGCCATTACTGTCTGTGAGAAGCAACTATTTAGGTTTCAAACAGAGAAACACTGTGCAATCAGGCATAAACATGTGTTTGATGCTGCTGAGGTGTAGAAAAGAATAAATTAGTAAAAGATGCACAAGTACAGATATAATGCTGTTATAATGTCATGTTCTAATTAAGAACATTTTTTTTACATGTTATAAGCTCATTGGCAGCACTAAGATTGTACTATTAATGACATGTATCGACCCCAGTCCAGAAATATTTGCAGAATCAGGAATCGGTTTCATGTAATATTTACTGGCCGATGTAGGCCTAACATCTCAAACTTATTTATACAGTGCAGCTTCATTGTTACATATCATTAACAATAATTCTAAATTAATTTTGGTATTGGGTATTAACACATAGTTAAAGTTACATTGGATCTGTGAGATGTGTATTGGTGATTCACACCAATAAGAGTAGATAATAGCATGAACAGAAGTGGTTTGTGGAAAACTCTATTATTTAACATGTAGTAGATGGATACATAAGAGCGCTACACCTACTAAGGTCACACATATCGGCTGGTGCGCTGCCCCAGATAGCAGCTTTCTCTTTCAATAGCTTTGTGTGCGAGTCATCTCACCATTAGGGTTTTTATGCTCCCTGTCGATAATAGGGCACATTTCACCTTGAATTGGCGTGATACATTCACTACAATTTTGGAGTGTGGGCGTCTTCATGGTGGCCTTTACATCCTTCAGTCTGAATGATCAAAGTGGCAGGTGTTGAGATGTTACTTTTAGCCTAACCAGGCCTTTAACAAAGAGCAGTGCTAATGCCCCTTGTAAAGAAACAGGGCCACTTTACAGATAACGGGAAGTACAATATAGATCAGCAGGTAAAATGTTAGTCCATGGGGATTTCATTTTCTATAAGCAGGTTGGCATATAATGAATGATACATATATTTTACTATGTCTGACAGTAATGTTTTTGTCAGGGTTTTGCAAAGATGTGTAGCAATCAAAAATACAATATGACTGTACTTCATCATCATCACTACCACCACCACCAACACACATCTCTGTGTTTTGTGTATCCAATATACAAATCCTAATGAATGTGACATGCCTCTCTTTTAATGACAGGTAACCCTAATCCTGATAATCTCCCATCATTTTCATTACAATGATGATTATGTTACATGCATGACCAAATTAATTTCAAATACACCATCAGAAACATTTGATTTAGTATTTGAAAGATACAGGTTAAGACAATCAGACCGTAATGTCACTGATGTTACCTACAACTCCTCCACATATACTGTATCACTGTCTGGGAGAAAATGGGGTATCACCGATGGCCTTGTTAACTTCGACACACACACACAACCTTGTACTCAACACCTAACACTGGGGTTGAAAGCCATGGAATTGCTTCTCTCTTTTTCTACTTCCTCCATGTAACAGAGCAGCCGGGCTATAGATCGCTGCTGATTGAAACTGGTCTTTGGAATTCCAATCAGGAAATGACTGGAGCAGAGTCTGAGAGAGCTGTGAACTGTCGAGTGTGAAAACAGGCTCAATGATTGGACAGAAGGAGCGTGGCAGATTAGGAGCAGGTTAGGAGGAGACGAGAGGACAGGA